CCCAGCCCACAACTGGCAACCTTGGGCTGCTCTGTGCTCTTACCCCTGGGCTGGGATACAAAGAGGTGCCCCCCCCCGAACTCAGCCGGCCCCCTTCCTCACCCAACTCTCTCCTCTCCTCCTGAGGAGGCTCACGTGGTGAAAATGCCTGGCTGGGAGAGGGACCCCCCCATATTAGCCTCCGGGGACTGTCCTGGTCCCACTCCTGCTCCTCCAACCCCCCCCTTGAGCCCACTTCTTTGTCTGTTCTGTGTGGCCCCCCCTCCCCAGCAGCAGAGCCACAGAGACACGGCATGCCCTTTCTGAGCGGGGCTGATCTGATGTGGCGAGCGCCTGCCTGGTCAGTGCTGGAAACAGGATGCTGGGCTAGAGGGAAGCGACCCAGGTCTGCTCCGAAGGCTGCCAGCCTCCAGGGTGGATCCCGGACAATGCTCCCTCTAAGCTGTGGAGTCTCGTGAGCCAAAATTCTACTTTGTGAGCTGCCGGCATTAAAGTTGTGAGCGAGGGATTTGGCTACAGCATAAATTAGCTCGCTCTGGAGCCCTCCTTCCTGAGCGAAGAGAAGAATGTGTGAGCCGGAGGCTAAGAAACCGTGAGCTAGCTCACACTGGCTCAGCTTGGAGGGAACACTGATTTCCCAGAGACCTGCCAAAATCACAACTGGTCTCCAGACGACAGGGATCAGCTCCCCCGGAGAAAATAGCTGCCTCGGCATCATGTTGTCGTTCAGCCGAGTCCGACTCTTCGCGACCCCATGGACCACGTCACGCCAGACCCTCCTGTCTTCTGTCGTCCTCCAGAGTTTGCTCAACTTCATGTCTGTTGCCTCAATCACACTGTCTGACCCTCTCATCCTTGGCCGTCCCCATCTTCTGTGGCCTTCTGTCTTCCCCAGCATCCTACCCTGACATTCTATGGCATTGTATGCCATTCTACCCCGCTGAGGTCCCTGCCTTCCGTCCCCAGGGCCCACCAAGCCAGAGACGGCAACCGTATCTGCTCCAGTGGGGCTCTTCAGACAATTTAATGACAACCCCCCCCCAGGCACTGTGGATCAGCTTTCTGCCAGGATTAGTCCCACCACTGGGAGGGTCCAGATGCTCAGCCCTTCCCCCGTTCAGAAGATGGAGCTGATCCATGGGGAGGGGGGGCTGAAGGCTTTGAGGGCGTCCTGTTTGGACACTCTGATCCTTAAATCACCAGGCACGGTTTGTGATATAAGGAGGCTCGGTGGGGGGGGGCTTCAGCCCAAATGAAGCCCCCCACAGATCCGTGAAAGGAAAATGGTGCCTACAGGGCTCCAAGGGAGGAGGAGGAAGAGGAAGAAGAGATTGGATTTATACCCCGCCCTTCACTAGGAGTCTCAGAGCAGCTGACAATCACCTTCCCTTTCCCTCCCCACAACAGACACCCTGGGAAGCCGGTGGGGCTGAGAGAGCTCTCTGGAGAACTGCTCTTGAGAGAACAGCTCTGGCAGAATTTGTGACTGACCCAAGGTCACCCAGCTGGCTGCAAGTGGAGGAGTGGGGAACCAGTTCTCCAGGTTGGAGTCTACCACTCTTAACCACTACAACCAACTGGAAGGAGGGGGCGGTTCCAAGCACCTCCCCAGGAAGGCAAAGGAGAGCTGCAGTTGTTGGCCTGGTCATTTCCGCACCCCAACTCCAGCTGGAAAGCCACCAGGGAGAGCTCAGTTATGTTGCCAACCTCCAGGTGGGACCTGGAGATCTCCCGGAACCACAACGGATCCCCAGACAGCGCTGGTTGGTTGCCCTGGAGAAGAGGGCTGCTCTGCAGGGTTATGACCCTGCGGAGGTCCCTCCCCAAACCCTGCCCTCACCACAGGCTCCATCCCCCAAAATCTCCAGGAATTTTGTGGGCCAGAGTTGGCAGCCCTAGAGCCCAGGAGTGTCAAAGCTGCCATGGGGCGACCCTACGGCCATAGCCGTGGTCACTGGTGCCGCCCAGGTCTGAGCTGAGTGGGGCTGCCGACCCGGCTCTGCAGGGGCCGTTGGGCCCAGCCGGCTCCAGGCTGCCGGAAGCCCCCCCGGATCTTTCCACGGGAAGCGAAGGGCCAGTCCGCCCCTGCCTGCAGCTCGGGCCGAGGGGGGCCGTCTGGTCCAGATTCCTGCTTCCAGCAGGGGCCTCTTCTGGGGGGCTCACCGGGAAGGCCCAGAAGCACGCGGTCTCCTCTGTTGTGTGTGTCCCCCCCCCAAGCAAGTGCTCTTCCTGACTCATGCGCACACACCGTCACTTTCAGCTGCACCCTTCCTCCAAGAGCAGGAGGTTCTGGAGTAGAGGCCCCCTGAATGTCACTGCTTCACCCAGAAAGGTAAGGGCACCTCTGCCCACATGTCCACACCCAGAAAGGTAAGGGCACCTCTGCCCAACTTGCCTGTGCCCACTCGACAGCGAGGCATCTCTGTCTGGAAAGGCAGCGGAGAGCCCCTCTGGCTTCTGGGAAAGTGTGTGCATCTGCCTGCGTGTGCCGTTCTCTGAAGAGGAATCCCCGGGGAGCAGAGTGTGCCCAAGGCTGGCCAGCGGTTCCCCTCAACTCTTTGCTGTGGGTGACCACCACGCAAGCCGGCTGCCAAGCCAGGCGCTGCTGGACACGTCTCCTGAGGCACCTCCAGTGCCCACCTTCCTAGCGTCCCCACATGTTGTTGGTCTCAGTTAGACGACCCACAGAGCAGGAGGAGGTGGGGCCCCGGCTCAGTGGGAGAGCCCCTGCTTGGCATGCAGAAGGTCCCGGGCTCGATCCCCCCCAACCCAGTCCAGGGATCAGGCAGGAGGGGATGGGAAAGAGCTCCACCCGAGACCCTGGAGAGCTG